CGCCGTCTTCCGCTGCGGCGACGCCGCGGACGCGCGCGCCTGCGACCACCTTCTGGAGCTCCACAAGGTCCTGGCCGCGGCGCGCGCGGCCGCGGCGCCGCCCGCGGGATGACGTCGCGTAACTCCTCTCTCGGTTTTCTTCCTACACATGGCGCCTGTGGCAGACGTGGTGTCTCCCATCTAAGCATGGGTGATTTTCGGTGATTTTCGGTGATGCTGGGTGTTTGTTGAAGTTGGCGTTGCACTCGTTGACGTTTTTAGGCAGCCCAGCCGAGCGAACGAGACGAGAACGCACCAACCACACCACCATGGCGCTCTCGCGGGAGCTGCCGCTCGGCAAGAACGCCGCCGTGCTCGTCATCGACGCGCAGAACTACTGCTGGGAACAAGGCAAGGGCATCTGGGCCGGAGCAGAAGCGGGCGCGCCGTCGCCCTACTACTGGGAGCAGGTCGAGGCGGCGACGGCGAACATCGCGTCCATCCTCGGCGTCCTGCGGCCGTGACGATTTTCGAGAGCTTTTTGAAAACGATGCAATACTTTCGTTACCGACGCACTGGGTAGGTCCATCCTCGGCGCCGCGCGCAACGACAAGCGCGCGGAGGTCCTCTACACGGTCATCGAGGCGCTCACGCCGGACGCGCGCGACCACTCGCTGGACTACAAGATCAGCGGGCTGTCCGTGGGCAAAGGCAGCTGGGAGGCCCAGGTCGTGGCCGGCCTCGCGCCCGGCGCGGACGACATCGTCCTCCCGAAGGGCAGCAGCTCCGTCTTCTGCAGCACGAACGTCGCCTACGTGCTGCGCAACCTCGGCGTCGACCAGGTCGTCCTCGTCGGCGGCCTCACGGACCAGTGCGTCGAGTCCGCGGTCCGCGACGCGTGCGACGCCGGGTTCCTCGTGACGTTGGTCGCCGACGCCTGCGTGACCCACTCGGCGGAGCGCCACGCCAACTCGCTGCGCGCCGTCGCGGGCTACTGCCGCCGAGCGACGACGGCCCAGGTCGTCGCGGAGCTCGCCGGCGGCCCCGCGCCGGGCGCGCTCGACGCCGCGAGCCGGCGCGCGCTGGACACGAAGCAGCCCGCCTACGTGCGCTTCGAGGTCGTCGACGGCGTCCCGCGACCGTGACGAATTTCGCGAGCTTTCGACCGGGAAAACGACGAAAAAATCGTCACCGACGCATCTGGTAGGTCGTCGACCTCAACGGCAAGGCCCTGAGCAAGACCGTGCCCCGGGAGCACGCGGGCGAGGGCGTGTTCATGTACTCCGGCGCGCTGGCCATGGGCGCGGACGCGCGCGTCCTCACGTTCCCCAAGTGCGTCGGCGACGCGGGCTGCCCGAACTGGCGCCTCGAGCCGCAGTGGGACACGCTGCAGAGGCTGCCCTGGGCGTCGTCGGCGGACCGCGACGTCTTCCGGGTCTACTGCGAGACGCTCCGGGGCTCCAAGGCCGACGCGCCCAAGCTCGGCGCGTGCCCGCGGGCCGCCTGCGCGCGGCGGCTCGCGGCGCTGAAGGAGGCCCACGGCGTCGACGTCTACGCGGCGTCGGAGCTCGAGTTCGTCCTGACGGACGACGAGCAGCGGCCGCGGTTCTCCGGCGTCGACATCTTCTCCACGCTGCAATTCGTCAAGTGCGAGGACTTTGCCTACGCCGTCGCGGAGCAGATGCGGAAGGTCGACGTCGACGTCCGCACGCTAAACTGCGAGTACGGCGACGGGCAGCTCGAGATCACCTTCGCGCCCAAATTTGGCATCGCGGCGTGCGACGCGGCGTCGACGTTCAAGACGGGCGTCAAGGAGCTCGCGCTCCGCCGAAACCTCCGCGCGACGTTCTCGTCGAAGCCCTTCGGCGGGCCCCGGGGCGTCGGCAACGGCGGCCACTTCAACTTCTCCCTCTGGCGCGGCGCGGCGCCGGCGACGCACGCGGGCGACGACGCCGACGGCCTCGCCGTCGACGCGCGCCGCTTCCTCGCCGGCGTGCTCGCGCACGCGCCGGGCCTCGAGGCGCTCGCGGCGCCCACGGCCGCGTGCTACGCGCGCCACGGCAACTGGGCGCCCGCGGCCGCGGACTGGGGCCACGACGACCGCACGGCCTGCGTCCGCGTCAAGGCGGACCCGGCGGGCGACGCCGGGTCGGCCTACTTCGAGTACCGCGCGCCGTCGGCCGCCGCGAACGCGTACCTCGTCCTCGCGGGCCTCGCGGCCGCGGGGCAGGACGGCCTCGACCGGCGGCTCGAGCTCCCGCCGCCCAAGGCGCCGGACGCCGCGAGGCTCCCGACGAGCCTGCCGGAGGCCCTCGACGCGCTCAAGGCCGACGGCGTCCTCGCGGCCGCGCTCGGCGACGACCTCCTCGAGTGGTTCGACCTCGTCAAGCGCGCCGAGCTCGCGCACGTCGACGCGGCGAAGGCGACGTTTCTCGAGGCGGGCCAGACCGACGACGACGCCACCCAGAGCGCGTGGAACGACCTCTACTTCGCGTTCCTCTGAGGGCCCGTAAGGTTGTCGATCTTCGAGGCGTGGTCGAAGGGGGGTTCGAAGGGGCAAGCTCAGGTGCTCGGAATTAACGCTCGGGACGGGTCGCGCGTCCTTGAAGAGCTGTTGCAGGGCAAGATCGACTGAGGCTCGCGCATGGCCAGAGCGAGAGGCCCCTGTTGATCGAACGAGCGCGTGAGACGCGGACGTCGTCGGTCGCGGCGCGCCGCACTCCTCGCCCATCGGCCGCGCCGCATGGAGCTCGACGAGGCGCAGCAGAAACTCGCGGCGCAGCGCCAGCGCGTCGTCGACCTGCTGAGCGGCGCCGTCGCCGAGATGAACCTGCTGAGCAGCTGCCTCGACCTCGCGCGCGGCGGCGACTTCGTCGAGGCGACGTCCATCGCCAAGTCGGCGCGCGGCACGGCGCACCACGCGGCGAACGACGCCGCGGCGGCGCGGAAGCGGCTCCGGGGCGCCGCGGCGACGCTCCGCGACCGCCTCGCGCGCGCGCGGACGTTGACGCGCGAGCGCCGGGCCTACGTCGGCCGGCTGCGCAAGGCGCGGCTGGACTGCCGCGTGCCCGCGGACCCGGGCAACGCGCTCGCCAAGACCGCGCCGGACGTGACGGCCAAGGCCTGCCTCCGGCGCGTCCGCGCGGCGCAGCGCCGCGAGGGCGAAAACGACGGCCCGCTGACGTTCGCGGCCATCGGCGTCGAGGTCGTGGGCGTCGACGGGCCGCGATCGCTGCCCGGCGCCGTCGCGACGTTCGCCGGCGACGCGGCCTTCGGGAACCGCCTCGCGGCGCTGAGCCGCGATTTACTGGAAACCGTGACGCGCGAGATCCTCGATACGCCGCCGCCCGCGGCGGCCGCGACGGTCGTCGACCACGTCGTCGTCCGGGTTTTAGATCGCTCGTCGGCGCTCTTCGTGCCGCCGCGCCACGTCGTCCACCTGCGCCTCGAGGAAGAACCCAGCGAGCTGGAGCCGGGGGGCGTGATGGCCGCGGCCGCGCGCCTCGCGCTCTGCCGCGCGCTCCGCGCGCACGCGGCCGCGCGCGCGGCCGGCGCGGCGCCGCCGCAAATCGTGCCGGACGTCGTCGCGCTCTACCGCCACGTGCTCCCGCGCGTGGCCCTCGTGGAGCGCGTCCGCGCGTCACCGTCGCCCGAGGTCGCCGCCGCGGCCGTCCGCCGCTGCCGCTGGGCGTTGGCGCCCGACGCGCTCCTCTGCCCGGGCCCGCGGCCCGGCGCGGCGCCGGGCGCGCCCCCCTTCGACCGGAGCTTGTATGAGTAACTTAGGACGGGTCCAGGCCGCCGTAGGGCGCGGAGAGGCACGTGAAGTCCGGCTCATCGCCGTCCGCGTACCTGTGTGGAAATAAAATCTTCAACCCGACTTCAATGTGCGCGTAATTGAACGGATTGCGCCGGACTCTTCGGCTGTGCTTCGAGAACTCGATGAGAGCAATCGATTCGTCCAAAAATCAGCCAAATCGACTTCGATTTGATCGAGATAGAGAGGTTTGAAGTCTGTTTTTTTCGACGCCGTCCGCGTACACTTCCAGCACCGCGGCGGCGCCGTCCGCGCGGACGACGCGGACGTAGTGGCAGTCGCGGCCGCCGGCGGCGTCGTAGGGCGGCGAGAGCACGTCGAGGACGCAGGCGCCCTCGGGGCCCGCGACGAACTCGTGGACGTTGTCCCGCGTCGCGTACAATTCCGAGAACCGCGGCGCCTCCACGGTCCTCCACCGCGCGGCCGCGGCGAAGGTGCCGTCGCCGTTGTCCGCGACGATGTCGAAGGAGGCGACGTCGAGCGACCCCTGGAGGATCTTCGAGAGGACCGTCATGCCCGGGTGGTCGTGCGCGGGGATGCGCGCGCCGGGGCCGAGGAGGAAGACGCAGATGCTGTAGTCCGGCGACTCGGCGACGGGCACGTGCCAGACGTCGCACCGCCGGCCCGACCGCGCCTCGGCCGCGCACCAGGCGCCGGGCCCGACGCCGAGGTCCGCGGCGTCGACGGCGGCCATGGCGGCGAGCACGGCCTCGCAGGCAGGGGAGCCGGCGACGCTCAGGCCGCCGTCCGCGGCCGTCGCCGCGCGCACGGCGTCGTGGAGCGCCGCGACGGCGTTCCGGGGGGCGCCGCCG